ACCTGGGTAGGCAGCGGGCAGAAGAGCATCCCTCTGAGTCAGGCCTGATGATCCTAGGCTAGATCCAGAGACTTGGTACATGGAAGGCCTCTTAGTATTTTATCTTGATGGCTCAATGTGCAGTGGTGAGCATCCTCAAGCAGATTCAGGGTGGTGATGGTGGGGTAACCTGGCATGGTTTTTTCTCTGGTGCTCCCTGGCAGTATATTTGCTGTCTTCTTCTTTTCTTGTGGCTTTCACATGATAACAATTTGTGGGCGACAGTTTTAATCTTCAGCAAGAAGCTGCAGGTTTTAAACACAGAAGCATCTCTTCCTCTGAATCACTTTGTAAGGAAATGAATAGCAGTGCTGGTTCCCATGTTTCAGTGGCATGCCACTTAAAGTTTGGAATACCTAACACCTTCTCCAAAATTAACCACAACTGGGATCAAGGTGCACACCAATATATAAATAATATAGCAACAGTCTATGAGCAATCACGGGTGTGTCTTCCATATGTGATTCAGAAAAAATAATGAGCTGTGTGGATGAAAATAGGCATTTGGGTGGGGATTATGCAAGGCCTGAGTTACAATGCAGGATGGGTGGGGGTAACACCTCTTGCAGCTTACAAATGCTAATCACCAGCTCAGCAGCCAGAAATCTCTGCAGCGCTAGGAACAAATATTAATAAGTATATTTAACAAATATTAATAAGTATAATTAAGCTTCATGTGCTGAATTTTCAGTGCCAAGGAGCTATGAGAAATTTTGCTGTATGTTTTCAGTTTTAAATGAACAGAGGTGCTTTGGAGAGCAAGCTGGCAAGAAAATTAAAGATTAGGCTACTTTAAAATAGAAAGTTTACCTCAGGACACTCCACAGACACACACAAAGAAATCGATGGGTTTCCTTACTGCAGAGACCCTACCAGAGATGAAATCATGCATTTGGTTACCCTTATCTCAGTTTTCCTTCTTGGCAGTCATCTAGAAACTACGTATTTAACATGCAGCTTGTCATAGCATTAGAAGTGTTTATAAAGGCCACAGTCTGTAATCATGAGTTTGAAGGGTGGGAATTCCACCATGACTGATCTGGTCATCATCTTACCCTTGAGTTCCTGACAAGACTCAGTTTGAATTCCATCAGCAACTACTCCCTCCTGTAATAAGTGCCCTTGCCAAATTGGTAGCTGTGTCCTGGACTAGATGGATGCTTTCCTTTATCATGTCAAACGTACCACTTTAGAAGTGTTTAAAAACTGCTTAGAAAGAAACCCAAGGTTGGAGCAGGAGGAGATGCAATCTCAGCAAGAGCTCTTCTGAAGTTTCAGTACAGGGGCAATTGTGCCTGTTGCAGTTTGGGAGCAAATGGAAAACTGCTGCCTCCTGGCACCCATGGGTGCTCACTCACAGGACTGGGTGGTCACAACAGTGCTACTGAGACGTGAGACTGCTGGGGGCGAGCAGTAGCCCCTTTTTCAGCCAGGGGGCTGTGGAAAGCTTTGCCCTTCTCTAGGTGCACGTCTCTCTTCCCTGTTGTAACCCAAATTCCTTGACTCTTCAGCCTCAGTGTTTCAAGTTGTAACTGCTTTGAAGTGTGGTTATTCCAGTCAAATCTATCTGGCAAGGGGCTTCCTCCTCAGAGGCAATGTCAGGCCTTGCCCAGGTGAGCCAAAGCTCTAAATATTCCAATGTGATCAGGCTGTTGCAAAAGCATGTTGTGTCCTGACAAGTCTTATCATGTGCCAGGGAATGTCTTCTGGCCAGAACTTGCAAAGCTTCCCCCACAGCTCTACAGCATTAATTACTCACTTGGAAAATGGAATACACTTCTTGGATCATGCAGACTTTGTCCCCCAGAGCACAGGAATCTGGTGTCCAAGAAACATACAAGTTGAGGCTTCCCGCTGCCTTTGTCAGTGACCCCCTCACCATTGCCCGGAGAACCACGGAACTGTGGAGCCAAGTCCTCAGTGAAGCTTTATTACTTGGAATTTTTAAAGGGAAATCGGGGAAGTTACTGAAATGCTCAAGGCTTGCCTATAAATTACTTTCCTTGTACTGAAGAGGCACGTGAGCTCTGTAACCTGCTTCCATGTCTTGCTGGTAGCCAAACAGTTACAGTTGCTATTTTCAGTTCAGGTTCAGTCTCTTTCAGTTACAGTTGCACTAAACTTAAGATTCATAATTTAACTTCTGGACTGAGCCATAACACTGTGCTGTTATCCAGCTGACACAGTAGGAAAGAGCATCACTACAGACTAATTCCATTTCTTCATTTAAATACCCAGGACTGAGTAGACAATACCAAAACTTTCACAAAAGGAGAATGTGATTTTTGGTTTTGACAAAAAACTATAATGGGGATTTTAGGTTAAAAGTCTTCTGAATTTTTGGAATTTCAGGAGAGGCTATGCCAGACCATTCAAAAGCACAAGTTGTACAAGGGTTTTAAGCTTTTCAGCACTATAAACAGGAAGTTTGTACTCAGAAGTAGCTCTTATTCTGAGGAAGAAGATGTCTTGCTGTTGAATTAACGAAAACGGTTTTAGCGCAGTGGCTGGGGAGCTTCCACTGCTAACAGACATGAAAGTGCATGCCAGGGTGTGAGCTGGGGAAACTCTAATGCCCCATTTTATACCAAAGCTGTGTTCAGCAGTTAGTCACTTTAGAAGTGTCTTTGGCTCGCCTTGTGCAAGTCACTGAGCAATAGCATCAGGCTGGTGTGAAGCGCAGTGAGTTAGGACAGAAGACTTCTCCCATCACTGTGTTCACAAAGAGAACAGGGAATGAGACCTGGCAGCAAGGGCAATGGCTCAGACTTGCCGGTTTACTGCCTTGTGCATCCAGGAACACAGAATGCCAGGGCTGGCATCCCTGTCGAGGGGTTAATTTCACAGTGTGTACACCAGCCACATGGCTTTTCCCCAAGAGCCTTAAGCCAAACCAATCCCACTGAGAGCTTGAAGAGCTTACTATGGGGCATCTGCATGGGGAAGCTTTCTTCTCTCTCCCATCCAAGAGTGGCTTTGCCACTCATTTGAGAGTAAATGATATGAAGGGCCAAACTGAGACGAGGCCTTTGGGGAATTCAGGTGCTTCCAGGGAAGGGGAAGAGAGCAGTGTGTTCAAGCACAGGCACTAGGCTAAAAAAAAGAGTTCCAAGAATTGGGAATGGAGTGGGACCCAGGAGAGTTACAGGGCAGTTGCTTGGTTTTGGGCTGAGTTCTACTGAAATGCCAACTACCGAGTCTGTGCCAGGTCCCAATCAACAAGGAACAAGCTGCAGCTTAGCAGTGTCAATCTGCTGCAGCAGTGACTGTGTAACTCAGAAGTGTTATTTGGGGTTAAAGCTGCTCAGATTTAAGGGGAAGTTTGCAAGTACTTATTTGACTTCTTCCACCTTGGAAATGTGGAAATGACAGGCTGAATAACTCAGTCTTACAGGATGCTTTATTGCCAGCACACAACTATAGACACTGTGCTGCTAGGTAGGAAGGAGGCATTAAAATGAATGGTGTGTAATGTGAGTTATTGAACACTCCTGCAGAAATCTGAATTAAATGCAAGCTGAATTCAACATCTGCTGCGCATTTAACATCATTCAAATGCGCAATTGCATACTCCATTCAATAAAGCAAAACCCAGAATGTATCATAAATATTTTATAACTTTATTAAATTCAAGACATGACAATATTCAAAATACAAAGTGAATTTTTTTACTCAATACTGTACACAATGCAGAAATATCAGTGCATTTCTATAGCATGTATTTCACCTTCATTTAGTTTGTACTAAAACAAATAAAAATTAAGCTTTAAAATAGCTCAAACACCTCATTCAGCAGTTTAAACTGTAAACAGCTTGTTCATTTCTGTGGAGGAACACATTCAGCTTCTGCACCTCCGTTAAGGAGCACCCTGTCTCTTGTGCTTATCTGTGAGAGGATAAATGTAATCAAAATGAGCACGAGAAACTGCCCATGCACAAACGTGGCACCTCAAGGAACTATGGATTGCTGAGGCACAGTGAGGAAAAACTGAACAGCAAGAAGCAGCATCTGAAGCAGCGAGAGATGGGACTGACACTGTTCATAAATGGAATCATGGTTTTCCCTCATAACTCTCCTCCTCCCTTAAAATACTGAACAGAAATCAAACCACAAGACCAGCTTGTGCTGTGTTTCTGTAGTTAATACAGTCAGAATTCCAGACTCTAGGTAAGCATGGTGGTGTTGCTGCCTACCTAAGAGCAACTGTAGAGCTGCTCGTATCCTCTGCCACTTGCAGGCTACTTCTACACATTTTTAGGATCCAGCAGGAAAAGAGCAGCAGTAGAGGCTTAGCAATAGCTGGTCCAAGTCTCTCCTAGGAAGAACTGCAAAACTGAGCCAAGTGTTGTCTAGCAACTGAAAGAATCCACAAAACCTAACTCGCTTTAAACGTCTGAGTGTCAAATCAAGTTGTAAAATAGGTTAATCTTTCGAAATGCACTGCCAATATGCTTGCCAAGTCTTCAAGTGGATATCAGATCTTGCAGCTACCTTCTTACCAGGTTGGCATATCCTAGTCAAAGAGGACAGAGTCTGTTCTCAGCAGTTAACTGTGTGAAAGAACTTTCGGAAATGCCTGATGCAAAACCTGTACTGCATTCTTTGCCCTGTTGTAGCTTCGTAAGTGACTCATAAGCAAAGCTAGATTGATTTTTTAATTCTTTAATACCATGACTACCAAATACGTTCATCTAGGTAGCATATAACTGGCCAACTGTAACTACTACCCCTCCGTATGTTTCTATGGAATCTCTGTAGATTTTCAGCTATACATACCAAGACAAAAACCAGTCTTAAGAAACATATCAGAGATCTGCAGCATAGGAGGACTTTACCATCCACTTTCCAGTTCTCGGAGGACAAACTGGTCCTACTTCATTATCTGAGAACCCGAAGAACTTTGTAACATGATAAAGTTGAGCTCCATCCTGAACAACTGAGCTGAGACCATGCTCCCAGACTATGGAGAAACCACGTAAGACAGATGTTTTCGTTTCAGGTGACCAGCTATGTCCACTCTAGGCTTTGAGTCCAGTTTTGCTGGGGCTGAGGTGGCTGTGCAGTCGTCAGACCACGACTGAACCTCTGGGCTAGAGCTACTTTCTTCTGCCTCTCTGAAGAATTTCTCATACTTGTCCAAATAGGGAGGCCTCTCGGGCAGCAGGTAGTAGTGCGTTGAACTGGCCTTCTTACCATTTTCAATGATCGGAAGATTGGAAGATCCTTCACTATTTTGTCTTTGTAGAGCTTTGCTGCTGACATACTTAGGATCAGGTGCAAAGCTCTGGGTGGGGGGCATAACCCCATTGAGGTATGATGGCAAGCTTTTGGGACTTGGCGTACGGGAATTGCTGCGTGACAAAGGTTCTCTGGGGGGCACTTTTGGAGGCCTGTCTTCATCGCTGTATGCACTAGAAGCAACTTCTGCTGACCACCTTCTGTAATCCGGTTTGAGAGCCCTTGGAGGTATGGGAACCCGTGGTGGAATCTCTGGTTTATCTTCATCAGAGTTTGGAGAAGACCTGTTTAAATGTCCAGATAGTCTTACGACTGGTTTATTAAGAGATCCAGCTGGCCCAGAATGGGACCTTCGCAAACGTCGATGCAGCTGCTGTGGAGGAGGATAAATACTGGATATATATCCACTTAGGCTTTGTGTGGGGTTGGCATCTTCTGGTTTTGGTCCTGTTGGAGTATCAAAATACGCATAGTTGATTTGTCCACAGCCCCTAAAGCTCCGCCGGCTTGGAGCACTGGATTTAAAAGGAGGAAGTTCATAATCTTCTAACAAAAAGTCAGTATCTGAGCTAGTGAGGAATTCCACCTCCTTGTCAACCTCATCTGGAGTAGGGTCTTCAGAAATAGGCAGAGGGGGCAGTGGCCTGGAGCTCCGGTCACTGGAAGATGTAGACAGGAATTGAATTGGCCCATGTTTTATTGGCATGTGAGGAGGTGTTTCTTCAGAAACACAGCCCATGGTTAATGACAGTTTACTAAAGCCAGGAACGAGATGGTCTTCATATCTTGAAATGGGCTGTTCAGTTTTGGGACTTAAAGGAGGTGGACTGGATTTCTGAGATGGGACTTGGGTGCAAGTTTCGGCAAAGCTGTGGTCATTCACAGAAACATGGTTGGAAGAGTGCCCTAAAAAAGTGAGAGGGTCTTTAGAAACACTTTTCAAAGTAATACTCTAGTGCATGACTTTGCCACTGCATAGTTAACATTTAATCCCTTCTAATGCAACAATAAGTAATGTCTGCTTAACGCTCCAGTAGCAAAAAGCAGCTATTATGGATCTTTTCTGGTTGTGGATCTATGTATTTAGTTAAGAGAGCAGCTGATTACCTTATTTTAAGCCAGTCCTCCAGTTAAATGATGTAGTTCAAGAAGCCCCAAACCTAAGCAATAGAACAGTTACAGCTACAAAGATCCCAGCAAAGGACTATGACAGAACAACTGCTATTTTACTGAATGGCTTTTCTGTCAGAAGTGTCACAGCAACTCAGAGGCCTCTAAGGACAAGGAAAAGGGTGGTTCTGTTTGTTTTAACTTGACCGTGTTCTTTAGACTGTTTGGGGGGTTTTGCTGGGCGTGAACAGCAACGTTTTCTTGCATCCTGTCACCAGAGGGCAGCCTTACATCCAGAATGAGAAAGCATTTCGTGTCTTGGTGAAGACCTGAGGATTTACCTTCTTTGTTCCAAGACAAGTCCAATAGACTTAAGTAAATACAAATGTGCTAAGTCTTTACACTTACCAATGGATGGTAAATGTTGCTCTGTTGATGGATTCAAGTTATACGCCACTGCTATAGGGTCCACATTAAAGAAAGTACTGAAAAGAAAAAAAGCCTTCACTGTAAATACACCGTTGTCAGCACTGGTACAAGTATTCTTAATGCTCGTCGCATCTATTTGAAGATGCAATAGATCAAGTTTTAGCCTCACTCACTTTTCAAATCCACTGTGGCTACCCCAGCAGGTTTTCAGACTCCCCATGCCTTGACTAGTGTGAAGAAATCCGGTTTTTAATGGGACTCTCATCTCCTGAGCAGCAACTCCTGCAGTTGACATTGTGCACTGCTCTCTGGTGATGGATGTCTCACAACCCTAGAAATTCAGTCCGTGACAGGTTTCCTGGAGTTTTCCTTCCCTTCAAAAGAGAGGAGGACATAAATATCAGAAACACAAACTTGCTGAGTTCATCTCTCAACTGCAATTCAGTATTTTGAGGAATTAAACAGCTCTCTGGAAGGGCCCGTGGGTCCTAGGACTTGCCAATAGGAAAACTTAAGTGAAGAACAGGTAACTTCTCTTACAGAATTCAACTGCATAGAAAAAAGAAAACCATGTTCAGTAAAGCTACTGCTATGACAACTGTGCATCCACAACTTCGGTTCTTGTACGTACACTGCTGGTTACTGAGGCAAAATTTGTCTTCCAGAACAATCTCTTGAACTTTCTAGTAGCCACCTCTCTTTAGTTGTGTCTTCTTGCTAGTGAGTTTATGCTTTCCAGCGTAGCCAACGTCTCCCAGCCTAGTCTGGTTTAAGTATTCCCTTCAAGAGCCTAACAAATGGCCTTTGCTCCAATGAACAGAATTACTGACTACTTAAATCAGAATCCAAAACTTCTTTTATATAAAGCAGTCACCATTAATAAACTTAAGCACTGAGATCCTTTAGATCATCCTCGCACCTTCTAGCCATTTCAAACTGGAAATCTGGTTTCTGTTCTAATCTATTATTTGAAAGAATCTCATCTTAAACTCTCCTGCTGTATTCACACTTATCTGGCCCATTTATGACAGAAAATGTGTGGGCAATTGCTTTATATTGAACAAGTAATCACAGTCTAAGGAACAAGCTGACGCACAGGGCTTGCTTTGGGAAGTTCAGAATGGATTAGGGGAAGGGAGGAGTGTAAAAGTAGTCAACATGCTTAAGACAGGAGACATTAAGGTCGAGACTGTAAGCAACGATGTTCTCTGGTCTGTGCTTCATCTACCCAAATATCCTAAATTCAGCAAGTACAATATAGTGTTACATGGCTGCTTAAAACCCCAAAGCACCCCACAAAACCCCAACCCACCCAAACCAGTTTAACTTTTATCTCTTGAGAATTAAGAATACAACCATTCTCTTTTTAACATGAGCTTCCTTCCTCCTACCCCCCGACAGAAGAAATTCCACCTCAAGAGAAGTCAGTCAACAACTGAGGGCTACATCAGTGCAGTATTTGTGTCAAGAAAACCCCTCCGCAGTGTGGTACTGCCAGAAAATGGGCTGCAGAAAATACATAGCTTATGGTAAATCTGCTCAATACCAGGCATGCTGTGTGGATGTGTAATCTTCCTTTCCTTTAAGAGGAAGGATCCATTATACTTATTTGCAACATGAGGGCTGGGCAGACTCCTAAGCAGGGCTGTAAACCAGGTGCCCCAGGATTTAATTTGCAGTCTGACACCACTACTTGCCTTTTATAAACAATAGTTTGAGAAAGAACAACTCCTCTTTGCTTTCCCAAGTGTGAACTGTGCCCAGGATTGATCATTCAAGCTCAACAGCTTCGGACTGTAAGAATGGCATAATGTGCAAGAACTAATCGCATTCTTTGAGTCTGATGGTTTTCTTGATCCTGACTTGATCCTGTGATTGCTCTTGTGCCACTGGAAGTGGGATTAAACAGAGTATTTTAGCCAGGCATTTAAGAACTCTAGACAGGAGGCTGTTAACTTTAATAGAAGTGAACAAAGGCCAAACCAGTGTTCTGTCTGCTACAGCAGACTATTGGAGTCTTAGTCCTACTTACTTCAGCCTTCCTGCTTAAATCTCTAGCAGTTCTCCCTTCCCATTGTGTAAGTGCAAGCAGAACCCTTGTCTTAGGGGGGCACCAATTCTGAACTGACTTCCTGTCACGTTAACACAACTCACAAATAAAACATCCATCACATCAGCTCACACTCTACTGAGCAGTGATTTTTTTTTTTTGCCTCACATATTCTACCCTATTAGCAATGAATCTGCAAAAGAAATGAAGGAGAATGAATTGGTGAACTTCAGGCTAGTGCCTGTGAAGGAGTTTGTGCTTCCATTTCAGTGTATTCTTCATGTCAAATGCAAGTCACAAGTTGAAAAATCACGGACACAGAACACTGACCAGTCAGCAAATGATAGCACCTCCCGTCAGCACACGTACAAGACCACCATGAGCACGACACTGGTTATGATATTAAAAAATGAGATGGGGGGTGGTGTGGTGGCACTGCCACGCGCTCTCAGTTTAAGAGCACATGCAGTGTGCTTCCTATGATAACACAGAACCCTTGCAGGGCTTGTCCTCCATCAGATCCCACACCAAAACCACTGCTAGTAATTACTGTGTCAGCTTTCCGAATGCTTTCTAAATCTCGGCTCTCGAGACCGACACTTGCACAATCGTGCCTCTGAGATCGGTCTGGAATGCTAAGCTTGACTTCTGAAATGGACTTAAATATTGACTTACTCCAGGAAAAGGTCATTTTCACTTGTTTCAGTCAACTCTATTTTTTAAAAATAGTGCCAATTTTGCAGCTGTAAAACTTGCTGCCTTCTAACAATACCCTCTTTGTGAAGGTGACTTGCCTCGTGAGTGGACAGTTATGAAACTGTCCTCCATGCCTAAAGCTAGGAGTATCAGAGAGGTAAGGCATGTTCTTCACTAAATCAGCTAGTTACTTTTGCAGTGGAGTCTAGAGCGTTGGTGCTTGTATTTGAAAACATGCATAAGCTTGTTTGAAGAAGCAGTATCTTATGGGGGAGCCATGAGGGCATGTAATCGAGGAGTACAAACTCTATTTTATAGTGTGCTAAGCAGTACATACTGCAGAAGCTGCTATTTTCTAGTAATTGGCTTAAAATTTTTTCTATGGTCACATATAAATATGATAGAGGATATGAAATAGGATAAAGACCAACAGTTTTCACTGTAACTGTTGGTCCAGTCCTGCCTCCTTAAAGACTTAAGGATCTAAGCTTAACCAGAACTCAAATCAAACTACGTTTGCTAAAGAGAATGGACACTGTGCAGTAATTGAAGCATTCTGGATCTCACGCTTCTTTGCTACTCATTTGCACAAAATGGGTTTCCAGTTCCTCTGCTTGTCGGCCCAGCTATGCATAGAGTGTGGCACCTAGAACGACGGAAGCACTTTGAGCACTTCTGAAGATGTTACAGCTTCAGTGTTACTCAAAAGAAACTGAGTTAGTTCAATCTATAGTTAGTAATTACTACAGGGCAGCTACAAGCCAGGGCAATTCAAAGGTTTGTCAGTGCGTTAGGAAGCTATCAACACCATCCACTGTCAGGCAAGGTGTGTGCAAAAGAGACTCTTTTTAATCATTCATGCCTGTTCACATTAACACATATGAATTATATTCTAAATACTGGAGAGGAGATTGATCTTTTTAATATGGCCAAATATATCTTCAGAGTTGAACTGATGAGTGATGAATAATAGGATGGGTATGTCTAAGCTGAAAATGGTCAAATGTATCCATAAACAGTAGGGTATCTACATAGTGAGGAATTTATATGGGGATAATATATGGGAAAATACTTGTGAGACTAGTTATAAAACATCACAAATACACAGTTTTCACATGGATATGTATCACTAAGTGCCTGTGTCATAGCAACAGTAACCCTCTGTTTAGAACCTTAAAAGCATTTAATATATTTTAGCCCCATGCCTATCACTGATCACACGGAGACTCTTACTGTGTTCCCTGCTCTTCCAGCCCCAGTGCAACCAAATATTTGAGGCGAGTCAGGTTTGTAATAAAGAAAACCTTTCTGGTATGCGCAGTAGACCAAAGCATGCTCTAGAATGTTTCACTTACTGGCTGTGGAACACAGCAATTTGCTGTACAGAATTCTGAATGCCTGCACAAGTTTTGGACAGCTTTTAGACCTCTTGTAAGAAACGGGAAAGAGAGAAGTGGGGGGAAGGAAGATCCATGTACCATTTTTGGGAGGGGAAGATACGTGGCTACCTTAAATCCACCACCTATTTCTGCTCACCTTGCCACCACATATCTTTAACAAATCTCAGAAGCAATTCACAGGAGGAGGGGCACATTTTTGCACTACAAGTCATCCACTCCAGCTCACTGTTCCTTATTTGACAATGTGATGTAATTTCCTTTTTTCCTTTGACTTTCTATTTAAGCACCTGAGATAGAGCCACCTCTTCTACTATTGAAGTATGTCAGACTTCTAATTGGACTTTACAAAGCCTAAGAGCTGCTAGTGTAACTTTCAGGAACTCCATATGCTTAAAATACTTCTTATTTACTACACACCAAACCTCCACACTGCAGTTCAGTATCCATCAGAGTCACTGAACTAATCATGCTCACATACAGACCTTGGGAGATTTTCTCATGGATAAGAAATATAGTTGTTATAAATAAGGCATAATCTTAGCTGTGAGAGGTTTTTCTACATGTTCTGCCAACCAGAAATGGACCACTCTGTGGTGTGAAGTTTAAGACTATGATCACTTAGTAAAGATGGATAAAAATGCTTCTCAAATCATAGGAGGTTGGAAGTAAAATGAATTCTACAGTTATACCCCAGGTGATGATGGGCATAAATTTAAACAGACAAATGAACGGAAGAGCAGACAATTTATTTAGATTACAATAGCTATTCTTGAGTATATTCAAAGAACTGCAGTTTATCAGGGAGTTTAAGTTCAGTTAATATTTGGGCTGCCATTTCACGGTCCTACACAGCAACTGGGAGGAACCCGTAAATTGCCAGTAGAAAACTAATAATTAAATAGCAAGACAATTGCCTTGCCTCTGCTTGTCAGATTTCAGATGCATGCTTAAGGTATGGTACTTCACCCTCCTGAAAATTTTAATGTGAATATATCCAGCTTACACTCAGGAAATAAAAATTCCTGCACAGCTGACTCAGTCATAACCATAGCGTTAGCCACGCTGTGATAAGTTTTAATTCTGTTTTCCACTACAGAGAAGTGGAATTGTTCTCCTCCGAAATAATTCCTGTATTACAGAGGATGCCAGACAGGGCTTCACCAAGAACAGATGCCCCCTCAAAAGATGAGTTTCTATTAACAAAACCCAACCAAGACTCTCCCATAT